GGTAAAAAAGCGAGATTATCGTCTCAAATATTTTCCATACAAAAGTGTATTATTTAAGGCGATTAAGGATTAATTTTAAGGAGGGCTTTGTAGTTTAATCTTAGTGTTTGCAGTTTTAATGAAGCTTTTACTATGACCTGTAGCCCGCATCAACTGGTTACTCGAAGGTTGATTTTCTGGGGCTCTATTGCTAATTTCTAAAGAATATACATGATACCATTTTTTATACGTTCAGCTTGTGTGCATTTATAAATATAAATTAATAAATATTAATAAAATAACCTATATACAATTATATATATATATAATATATAATATATATATACTATATATATATATATATATATATATTATATATACTATATATATTAATATATATAATATATATTTCGTAAACACTACAGAAGATAATGCGTAATAAAAACAACATTTGGATACCAAACGCTGTCATTTACATCGCGGCAGTGCGTTAAGCCAAATCGAGTAGAATGGCTGAGGAAAGATCAGATAGCTGCACGCTGGAAATAGCACTCGCGACACCAGATCGAATCGTCAATTTGCTTTACCGTCGGCCCTCGATGACGGACGCTGACGGTTCGACGCCACAACGGTGACGCTAGCGATCGCGGCGCCACCACCTTTCGGTCCGTCTCGTCGTCGTCATTAAGACTGATTCCGGCCCCGCTGTGCGCGCCACGGTCGTGTGTGACGTCCATCTGTCGTCCTGCAACCGACGCACTGATGGCATCCGAACCGAATTCGGTCTGCTAAAGATTTGCGCAATTGCGCGCAAAGTGAATCGGAGTTTTAAATTCGTATGACGTTCGTGCAGGCCTAACGATTTAGGTGGTGTGATCCGTCGGATAATGTTTATTATACTATACTATATTCTAAAACTTGCAACAACATTGCGCCGATTTTTGTATTCTTTTAACCGCGCTCCTGTGTAGTGTGAGAGTTGAGTTTATTCTCAGAGTAACCCTAAGACGAGGAGTCCTGTGGCGATCCAGAAGTAAATTCTAGGGGAGCGGGGGGCGGCGAATACATTGCCGAGCTCAATTGACACGGACAGCGCCCGAGGCTGGGGAGGGTGGTTAGGGTAAGAATACCCTGCCCGGAAAATTTTTAGGGGGGGCGTCTCCTGCCCCTCTGCTGGCCCCCCACTTGGATCCGCACCACTGGGAGTGTTGGTTGTCCATTATACATACTGAGGTTTACACTGCGCAGTTGGCATATTTGTTCGAGTTCGGTCGTGAGCTTTGCGTGGTTGGAGCGATGCCGCGCTACTGCTTTCGTAGTTGGCCGCGAATATGTAGTTGACCATATGCGAACCGCGGCGTGAAGAAAGATGTAGATGGTGTGACCTCTTGAACTCAAGGATGTCGATGCCTTGCGTGTAAGAGAGGCGGCGGCAACGACACGCGAGACGACCGGACGACCGCTCTGAGTGTTAAGATCGAAAGGAACTTGTAGCGTGAACCGCGTTGCACTCCCGCGGGAAGAGAGCAAAATGAGAAGGATGAGAGATTGCAACGGAGTACATATACATGCAACATACAACATAGCAACATACATACATGCAACATGCCAACATACAACATACAAACATATGCATATACATTACAACGTACAGACGTACAACGTACAGACGTACGAACGTGCATTCAACATGCAACATGCAAGCATGCAACATGCAACATAATGCAACATATAAACATATAAACATATACATATAAACATATAACACATATATAACATATAACATATAACATATAACATAATTAACACTATAACATATAACCATATACATATAACACTATAACATAATAAATATAACATATAAACATTCATAAACATATAACATCATAACAATATAACTATACATACAACATACAACATACAACATACACACCAACATACACATACAACATACATACAGAGATGCAACTATACATAAATATTCGTGCGCTGAATGAACGCCGTTATCAGCCGCCGAGGTGCAATAAGATACGGTGTGTCTTTTGTGTGTGTGGTGCTGTGTGGTGCTGTGTGTGTGTGTGTGTGTGATGTGTGTTGTGTGTGTGTGCTGTGTGTGTGTGTGTGTGCGTACGTACGTGTGTGTTTGCGTGTGCGTGTGTCTATGTGTATGTGTGCGTGTGTGCGTGACACTGCGTATGTGCGTGACACTGCGTGTGCGTGCGTCTGTGTTCTAGGTATTTTATTAAATAAATGGTGTAATAAGGTTGGTATAAAAGTGTTACTAAATTATGCCCGGCGCACACGGAGTCAAATTACTCAACGAAAATCCGCCGCACACGTGAGTAAAATGACGCATGCGTCAAATTACTCAACGAAAATCCGCCGCACACGTCAGTAAAATGACTCATGCGTCATTTTACTTGAGTAAAATAACTCACGTGTGCGCCGGGCATAAGATTTGTGTTGAGCACCGCGTGTAGTTATCATATCGCTCTGCTGTGATCTGGATCGTCAACGACGTAATGTGGGACGAGCTAGCTCGATAATGGCAGCACGGGGAGCACGTCTGCCTGCTCTCCAATAAAACTACCCAAGGATCGCTTTAAAGCAGCAATTAGATGAACAACCAGTGGAAATTGATACACAGGGATGTAATTTCGAACTCCTGGTGAAGCAGTGTTCTTGCTTCGGCCCTTGGGGCTTGCGTAATACATTAGATCGGTACGCGAACTTACGGTACGCTTATCGTACGCTAACTTAATTAAAAGTTCGAATTGTAGGTGGAATGCCGTGACGTAATCAGTCGTAGCAGAGAAGTAGAACGATATAATGATAACATAGAATGATAGAACGATAATATGTGCTCCCGATAACTATACAGATGCTTCCCAGTGGTGACATTTATCTTCTACCTGACGACAACCGTTATCCCGTGCGCGTAATGAAGCTTGCGTTCGCGTGATGCGCAAAATATCGGCGGAAAGAAGAAAAAACGCGAGATATCAAACCTAATCAAACCTAACATACGTCGTTATCCTCTTTGCCAAAAAATATGCGCTAGACTCGTTATCCGTCGCTGTCATTGCTCTGTATCAGTGGTTCTTAACCTTTTTGGCCCCACGACCCCATCAGACATTCTTGGTCAGTACCGTGACCCCCGAAACAAAAATTTAAAAAAAACCAGCCCGATTTATATAGAATTAAAATGGATTTGTTTCATTTATGACACCTTCATGACCCCCGGTAAAACCCCAAACGACCCCCAGGTTAACGACCGCTGCTCTATTGGGAATATTACCGAGAGAGATTCTAGCCGGAATGGCGTCGATGTGCAGCCAAAAAGAGACCCACGAGCAGATGACGAGGAAGACGCAGGGAAGGTAGCTCTGCGACAGGTGGTAGCCGAACTCTCGCTTGAAGATGAACATCATCTTCAGACAGCTGAAATTTCCTGCAAGCAACAGAGTTAGTATCACAAATGTTAATATACATATAACATATATATATATATACATATTATTAAAATACATGTTCAGTGCATGTAAGGTATCCATGGTTAACGCACATGCAGTGCCCACATGCATGCACACAAATGTCTTAAAATCTTAAAATACATGGAGTGATATAATAGATAAATATCTATTGTATTATTATTATTATTATTATTATTATTATTTTATCTATTATTACTCTTGATATTATTATTTCTATGGACAACGATGATATAGTAGTATAATATAATTAGTATATTATACTAATTAGACTAGTAATGTACTATAGTTAGTGTCTCTATATATGTTTATGTGGTTGGCGCCTGTAGTCGGACACACGGTGAGGGACATCGTGTTCCAGTGGAAGGAAGACGCTGTGCGGGTACAGGACGAACTCGAGTTACCGCAGTTCGACTATCCGATAACGCAGACCGTCGACTGTTTTAACGAACACTACACAGGTAACCTCCTGGCCGAGGAAGACACACGCACGCACACGCGCACACGCACACACACATGCACAGCACGCACAACACATTTATTTATTTATTTATTTTTTATTTTATTTTATTTTCATATTTATTATTTATTTTATTTATATTTATAGTTTTATTTATTTATTTATTTATTTATTTATTTATTTATTTATTCATTCATTTATTTAATTCATTCATTTTATTTATTCATTCAGTTTTTTAATTTATATAGATGGTTCCATAATGGACGGGCACGTTGCTTATAAGAATTGACGGGACGTGTCCGGTGCCACAGCTCAGACTGCAACGGGTGACTTCTATCTACATGATTCTAGTTACGTAGACGTTTCTGCTTTTTATTTTTTATCTTAAAGTGCCAATAATATTTGACGCATTTAATACTTGCAAGTTAGTTAGCTCAGAAGAAATTAGGCTACGTCTAGATGATG